CTCAAGGTCAACATTTTTGTTTTGTAGTTGCGACTTCCTTTTTAACCATACCTTTTTCCCCTCTTTCTTAACAGGACAAGAAGAGCAAAACGTTCAATTTGAGATTAAGACACATGGTTCTCATATTGAGGTTGGCTCCATCAGCCTAGTTGTAAATGCTTGTGCAAGCAGGGACCTGCGTGAAAATGTTGTTGGAGTGTGTTTTGTGGCACAAGATATCACTGGTCAAAAGATGGTTATGGACAAGTTCACTCGACTAGAAGGCGACTACAAAGCTATCGTAGAAAATCCCAATCCATTAATCCCTCCCATTTTTGGTTCAGATGAATTTGGATGGTGCTCAGAGTGGAATCCTGCAATGACAAAGTTAACTGGGTGGTCGCGTGAAGAAGTAGTCGATAAGATGCTTTTGGGAGAGGTTTTTGGCGCTCACAAATCATGTTGTCGTTTAAAGAATCAAGAAGCTTTTGTTAATCTTGGAGTTGTCTTGAATAATGCTATGAGCGGTCAAGATCCTGAGAAGGTTCCCTTTGGTTTCGTTGCTCGAAACGGGATGTATGTGGAATGTCTTCTATGTGTCAATAAGATCTTGGATAGAGACGGGGCAGTTACAGGGGTTTTTTGCTTTTTGCAGCTTGCTAGCCATGAGTTGCAGCAAGCACTAAATATCCAAAGATTATGTGAGCAAACTGCATTGAAGAGATTGAAAGCATTGGGATACATAAAGAGGCAGATACAAAATCCTCTGTCTGGGATCATCTTTTCAAGAAGATTATTGGAGCGCACTGAATTGGGAATAGAACAAAAACAACTTCTACATACTAGCATACACTGTCAAAAGCAGATTTCCAAGATTCTCGATGAGTCGGACCTTGATAAAATTATTGATGGGTATGGTGATTTTGAATATATAAGAAAATTAGTTCTTTCGTTTTCAAAATTTTATTGATTTCACCCGAATTTTGCTACATTTTTTTCTTCCAAAAAGTCTAGTTTTATACCTCATCTTTGTCTTAATTTCCTTTTTATTGAAATGGGTTTAAGGCTGATTAGTATTTTCATTAACTTTATGGTACAGGTACTAAATCCTTTTTAAAATATAAAAAGATTGACCATTTGTATGAATATCTAGGTTGGTATTTCCTGTGATTTGTTACTATTATGAGTAGCAGAATGGATTAATATTTCGTTAGTTGAGAAATTGCATTTATTTTTTTGCATTTCAAAACCAATGCTTCCCTTCTTTGTGTACATCGGTTTATCAGTATATTCATTAATCTCTTTGAGGGGATCAGGTTCATTGATTTGGAAATGGTCGAGTTTACGTTGGATGAAGTATTGACGGTATCAATTAGTCAAGTGATGATAAAGAGCAAAGGAAAAGGTATCCAGGTAGTTAATGATACTGCAGAAGAAGCCATGTCCGAGACCTTATATGGAGATAGTTTGAGGCTTCAACAAGTCTTGGCAGATTTCCTATTGATATCAGTCAATTATGCGCCAACAGGCGGCCAACTCACAATTTCAACCAACCTGACCAAGGATCAATTAGGGAAGTCGGTCCATCTGGTGCATCTGGAGTTCAGGTACAAGTTTTCGTTGCAAAATGATATTGGTCCTTGAATTTTTAGGTTATTTTATTTTGGTTCATCTATTAGTTTCTGAACTTTAAAAGATAGTTTACAAATGGAAATGTGGCTTCAAATATGTATATTAACTTGTTAGCTACATAGGTTATGTTGATTGAGGTGTGGGAGGGTTGCAACAAAATGAATTCTGTTAAAGATTGGGACTACATTTTGAAAGTTCAGGGTATAGAATGGTTACTTTTTTTTTAGTTTAGGAACTTAAATAGTCAAGGATCAAAATAAAGTAAACCCAGTTCAGGACCAAAATGAGTTGAGAGCATTTATGTTAGCTGTATAAGTAGATCACTTTGCTTCATAACTATAAGATTCAATAATAGCTTATCAGAGCTAACAGGTTTGTTATGGGTTAGGCTATAAGCATTCGATAATAGCTTGTTGAAGGAAGCTCATGTATTTGTTCTGGACTAGGATAACGTATGCCGGAGGAGGTATACCAGAATCGCTCCTGAACGAGATGTTTGGTAGCGATGAGGATGCGTCTGAGGAGGGTTTTAGCCTACTGATCAGTAGAAAACTGGTGAAGCTGATGAATGGAGATGTACGATACATGAGGGAAGCAGGCAAATCTAGCTTCATCATTACTGTCGAGCTTGCTGCAGCACACAAGTCGAGACCGTAGCCAGAAAGAAAGAATGAAAGAAAGGCAATTTCAAACATCAACCGAGTAAAAGATTGCATTCTATGTTTTGGAGTTGAATGAGAGGAATTTGCAGTGGGTCTCGATTTTGTATACTGCTAAGTTGTCCCTCATTGTTAAGTTTCTATTTTCCTTTGAACTTTTGTTGGAATACAATCTAATTTACTGCTGACTCCTTTATTTTGTGCCTACTCTAAAAAGGCACACCTGATTGTACAGTTTTATGGGAAAAGTACCCTTTTGGTCCTAACTCCTAACTCCTAAGCTTTCAACTGTAGGTACGTTTTGCTGCTTATGTTTTAAAATTGTGTATTTCTGCTCTTTAATTAGAAAATAGGTTTAAATGGTCCTTTCACTAATAGATTTGTTTAGTTTCTCGTGCAAAGACGATTGGATGGCTTTGCTCTGCGATCATAAACTCTAAATGTGGTCATACATGAAAGATAATGATAGAACCCGAACTAAAAATATATTGAAATATAATAAAATATAAGAATTATCAAGTAATTCTAGGTACTTTGATCCTCCCTTCTTCTCTTGAGTGTTCTTACTCAAGTTTAAACCATACTACTAATTGTCTATTCTCATTCTTACCCTCTTACCTTATTTATGATAAGAACTCCCTAATCCAATTATTGATATACCTTTAATATGCTAATAATATCTCCAACCTATCCTAATAACAATCTTATAAGATAATATCGCGGTGTGGTGTTATTGCATATGTGATGAGCTTTATAAAACATCATCTTTAGTCCTACTGTAGAAGCTAATCATATAATTGCATTATGGAATGACCCAAACTTGACATGTGGATTGTGTATGTAAACAAAATGAGAGAACTTCTTATATTCAATTGCATTTGTTTCATGTAAACTTTGAAAATGAATTTTAAATCATGATTAGCTTCACATTTGCATTCAATCAATTATGTTTTTTTAGTTTTTAACCGTTTGAGTACAAAGAAATTTCTTTTTGGTGACGATTATTGCAATAGGATTTCTGATCGTCCCGTTCATTGCATGCTGCAATTACGTGATCTGAAATCCTATCGCGATGTTCGTTGGCTTTATGYGAAGGCAAAATGTCCTATTTTAAAATGGAATTGGAGAAGAAGACCATACAATTTAGGGACGAATGTTTTAGAATATTCAACTCAAAAAACAGAGAGGTTACGGACCTCAAAGTAAACCAACTAAATATATAGAAGAATAACC